AAAGAAAGAAAGAAAGAAAGAAAGAAAGAAAGAAAGAAAGAAAGAAATCCTTATGGTAAGACTTGGGTTCTAGACTACACAGGCTATATATATGATGTAGTGAATAGAGTTCCAGACTTGGAGTGAAGAAGACTGGGTTTTGAATCCCACTTTAGACGTTTACTAGCTGAGTGTCCGTGGGCAAGTCATTTACCTTATCTGAGCCTCAGTTCCCTATCTGTAAGGAGTTGGACTAAAATACCTCCTTCCAGCTCTAGCTATATGAAGGATCAGAAAAAATTGGAGGATGTTGGGTTGGTTGCATGAAGAAAGCCAAACACTTTGATGAACAAGAGACGCCATCCTGAAAGGAAGAAGGGTCTAGAAGCAAAGCAGGAACACACGGGCCAACACCTGTCCCCACCAGCTCCCGTGGGAAATTAATTTCATGTTGAGTTGCTCTATTTAAAAACCCTGACTGAAGTGTCTCTGCGAGGTAAACAATTGGAATGACTCCAGGACCATCCTAAGGCATTTAAAGCCGCCACAGGCTGACCTGAACTAAAGTGGGGGGAGTGGGAAGGAGACTAGGGAATACCAGCCTCTCTTCCACTCCCTGCCAGCCTGGCTGACTGCCACGTCAAGATACCAGCCCGAGCCTTGTGGTTCTTGCAGCAGCTGGCAGGCTGCCCCCCGGCCAGAGGGGATGCTCGCTATCAGCATGCTGCTCATTAGGAAGCATCTTCTGAATTCAATGATCCAAGTGCTCTTTCAAAGGAGATTCAAGAGAGCCAGGGCACCTGAATGGAGCCCTGATGCCCATGTGGAACAAGTCTGCTGCCGGCATGAGGCTTTCAAAGACTTCAGGGAAGAAGGATGTGGAGGAATTGGATTTGAGAGACCTGATTGTTAGTCATTGGCCCTGGGATACATTTACTAAACTTAGTGTGGCATGGGGGGTAGGGGTGGGGCTGCATTCTGCGGTCATCAGGCCACATCTGGAGTCCTGTGCTTAAATCTGAGAGCCCCATTTCAGGAAGGACACTGATAATCTAGGGCGTATCCTGAGGATGTGAGAAGATGGGAAACCATGCTGTGGGAGTGTCATTCAGTATCACTGTAGAATAGCCTTGATTTGGAGAGAGAGGACCTGGTTTCATTCTTGTCACCTGTGTGATGCTGGGCAAATTCTATGGATCTAAACTCTCTGGACTTTACATTTTTCATCTGTAGAATGACCTTTAATGTCATTTCCAGCTTTAAATTCATGGTCCTATGAAGTGGAGATGTTTTAACTGAGAGAAAAGAAGATTTCTTGAGGTAGCTAGGTGATATAGTAATTAGAGCACTGAACTTGGAATCAGGAAGACCTGAGTTTGAATTCTGCCTCAGATGCTTACTATATTATAATGACTCTGATCAAGTCACTTCCTATCTGTCTGCCTCAGTTTCCTCAACCATAAAAATGCGGATAACAATAGCACCAATTTCACAGAGTTGTTGTGAGGATCAAGTAAGATAATATTTGTAAATCACTTAGCACCATGCTGGGCACAAAGTAGGTACTTAATAAATGCTTGTTCACTTCCCACTTCAAGTATCTGAAGGGCTGACATCAAAGAAGCCTGAGACTTGTTCTTCAGACCAAGGAATAGAAGTTGAAAAAAGGCAAATTTTGGCCCAATAGAAGGAAAAACTTCCTATCAAATGGGACCAGTTAGGGACCATGGTGGGTAGAGCACTGAGCCTGAATTCAGGAAGACCTGAGTTCAAATCCCATCTCAGACACTTACTAGCTGTGTGACCCTGAGCAAGTCATCCAACCCTGTTTGCCTTAGTTTCCTCATCTGTAAAATGAGCTAGAAAAGAAAATGGCAAACCACTCCAGTATCTTTGCCAAAGAAATCCCAAATGGGATCATGAAGAGTTGGGCATGACTGAAACAACTCAACAATGAATAGAGCCACCTGAAAGTGAAATGGGCTACCTTGTAATTATGAGATTCTGCCTTCCTAGTGGCCCTCAAGTGGCGGATGCATAGCCAGTTGTTGGAGATGTAAAACCTCTGTTCAGGTCTAGGTCTCCTGAAGTCCCTTCCAATGCTCATACACAGGACAATAGCTCAGACAGGATCATAAGTAGAATCTACTAACCAGAGGATGTCCATCACTCATCAAACTATACTTTAGATGAGCCTTGTGCTTTCTGTTGGCATATGAGTTAAATATACGAACTATTAAGTTGAAAACAGCCTTTTTCAATATCGCAAAAAGTTGGTGACTTTTGACTTTTTCTGGGTGGGGGCTTCCTCCTCAGTACCAGTCTGCAATTCCTCCAAACATTAATAGAGGGTCTTTTGTCTCCATGGCTAAAACAGAAACCATCAGCTGATGGCTATTCCTCAACAGGCAGATGTACTAATTTGCTACTGTTTTGGAACATGAGTTATTGTGATGGCATATGGCCAATAAAAAGATAGTAGAGTGGTCTCATTGGACAGATGAGTCAATGTAAGGGGGCAAAAAACTTAGGTCTGGCTTATGAGATTCAGTTCTATTATTGAGCTGTAGAATATTACAAAGCATTTGTCTCTTTAGTAAAATGGGATTTATAAATATATCACCATAACCTAGAGAAAAATACAGCACCACCGTGCAGATTTAATTTATTTTGCCCAACCTCACGATCTTAAAGACGGAGAAACTGAGGTCCCTACATGCGAAGTGATTTGCAGTGTGATTTACTGGTTCATAGATTAATGCTGGAAAAGGTCTAGTCCAAGTTCCTCATTTGACAAATGGGGAACCTAAGACCAAGATTGTTTCAATGACTTGCCCAAGGTCACATAAGGGGTAAGTGGCAGAAATAGAATTTGAATCCAAGTGTCATGGAATGAACATTAGATGCAGCATCACTAGACCTAACTTTGGTCTTGGCCCTGCTATTCCTTACCTGTACAATAATGGTCAAATCACTTATGAGCCTCAGTTTCTTCATCCATCAAATGGGGATAATAATTCTTAATGGTTGTTGTCCTTCCTTTCTGAAGAGGATCAAAATGACATCACTATATTGAGGTCAAGATATGGGTGTGTCCAACTGTGGCTGATCAGACCAACACGAACTTGGAAGGCTCTACCACAGGTCGGGCACAAATAGTCCACATGAACATCTGGAGTGGAGATGTCTCTAAATTTGTGCATCTCACATTTCTTTTGAGCTGCTGCAATTCTGCTTTGCTCATAGAGCGTAGAGCCTTTTTTGATGCAGTCACTCCATGCTGGACCATCCTCTGCCAGTGTTTCCCATATCTCACAATCAATTCCAAAGTTAAAAGAGACCTTGAGAGTGCCCTTGTATCGCTCCTTCTGCCCACCATGTGAGCCTGCCTTGTGTGAGTTCACTACAGAATAGTCTTTTGGGAAAACGTACATTTGGCATTAATATACCTACACCAAAGGAATATTGTGAGAAAACTGAGCTATAAATCTTAAAGTGATATAAGATATATGAGCTGTTATTATTATTATATCCCACAGTCATACAAATAGCTGAGTGGCCGAAGTAGGACTAGAAACCTCATCTCTTGAGTAACTGCCAAAGAAATGGTCTTCAGTATTCAGTGGTCACAAAACTTTTGCAGATAGAGAGTACAATGGAAATACTAATGATTAATTCAATTAGCTCTCACTGTTGTTGGCTGGCCTGGTACAACGGCCAGCCCTAGGCAAAATTATGATATAAAAGAAAATTCTATTTTTTTTTAGATCCTACCCATCCTCTTGTGAAGAGGAAGAAGGATCTGAACTATGAAAGCTTTCCTGTGAATGAGTTTGATGGTAAACACATTGACTAACCTCTCCCCAAGAGCATTGACGTTATAAAAAGACTCTTCAGAAGATGAACACAAAGGAACGTCGCTATAATTGTGAAATTTCAAGCAGTGTGATATTTTAGGTGAACGGGATTTTCTTGCCACAGCTTTGGAGAATAGCATGCAGGCCAACACTTGCTCTGTCTTCAAGTCAGCCTAATGTCACAGAACAATGGAAGTTCGGGGAATTGCCTACAAAGCTTCACGATGCATAGACAAGAGGAGAATGGGACAAAGCACTGTCCTCTGAAGAACTATGTGGCATCCAAATCACCTCCTCTTCATCCTCCTCCTCCTCATCATCATCATCACCACCACCACCATCACCATCACTTTTTATGACATCCTACATGACCCCTCCATTCTATTTTCTTCTGCTTCCTCCAGGATCTTTCTCCATAAACCATCCCCTCTTGCTCATGAATATGTAACACCCGTACTCTTCAACCTTAATTAATGTAACTAACAAGATGTTCTACTCCCTGATACCTTTATCAGATGAAATACCCAGGGTTATCCTGGAGCCAGCTAGAATGAGCTCCTGAGACAATTTTAAAATTTTCAGGGTGAACTTTTATGCCTCAGAAATCCTCAAATGCTACAAACCAGGGCTTGGTTTATTATTTTGTTGATTTCTAAACTTAAGGAAGCAATGGAAAAATATTTATAATGTAGATTAAACATAAAAGTGTTCCCTGCATGCATTCCCCCCCAGAATGCTGATTGTTAAACATTTACCAGCACATCACTAAAAATACCTCTTTGATTTTAGGCTTAATCAATAAACTTGAACAAGTCCTTAATCACTTTAGGAGTGAAATGCTTCAGGGACCTGAAGAGAGTCTGGAACCTCTTGTTTTCTCTTGGAATCTGGAAGCCAGAAGTCTAACATCTCCCAAGCTCTCACCAACTCTGCCCCTCATGCAGGCAGGGAGCATTGAGTTAATCAGATCTGACCAATGAAGAGAGTCCAATGCAAATAGACTTTGAGCCTTGGGTTACACCTATTGACCTTCTGAATACCCTCTCTTCTTTTGTCCTACTTATACTCTTGTAGTTCTCCTAATTTCCTAACTGCTCATTCTCTAACTTTTTCTTTGGCTTCTCATCCTCTTTTAAGAATCATCATGTTAGAATGGAAAGAATGCTAGAACTGAAGTCAGGAGACATGGATTCAAATAATGGTTCCACCAATTACTAGCTGTGTGACCATAGGTAACTTTAGCCTCAATCTCCTCATCTGATAAACAGTCACAATACTTACTCTAATAGAATTTTTAGGAAAGTATTTTGTAAGCTTCAAAGTACTATATAAATGTGAGTTATTATTATTTTCAACTCTTTAAGGTAGCTGTTTTCTAAGGCTCTACCCTTGATCCTTCTCTTTCTATATTATCTCCCTTGACAATCTCATTGAGTTTCACAATTTCAACAATTATTTCTACCCAGATTACTTTCAAAATTAGATCTCCAGCTCTGAATTTTTTTTTTTGGTTAAGCAATGGGGTTAAGTGACTTGCCCAGGGTCACACAGCTAGTAATGTGTCTGAGGCTGGATTTGAACTCAGGTCCTTCTGAATATGACCCCTCCAGGGTCAGTGCTCTATCCACTGTGCCACCTAGCTCCCCCACCCCAACCTTTCTTTCTGAGATGCAGACCCTGGGCCCAGCAACCTATGGGACATTTTCTCCTGGATATCCTACTAGTACCTTAAACACAACATGTTCAATCTGAGTTTATTATCATTCTCCCTAAACCTGCTCCTGCTTTTGACTTCAATATTTCCATCAACATCACCATCCTTCTCCTAGTTTTATTGCTGTTGTTCAATGATTTTTTAGTCGTCCCTGACTCTTCATGAGCACATTTGGGGTGTTCTTGGCAAAGGTACTGGAGTGGTTTGCCATTTCCTTCTCCAGACCATTTTATAGATGAGGAAACTGAGGCAATCAGGGTTAAGTGACTTGCTCAGGGTCGCACAACTAGTAAGTGTCTGAGGCCAGATTTGAACTCAGGAAGATGAGTCTTCTTGACTCCA